GTGTAATTGTATTTATGTAATTTTTTCATTCTGTGATTCATATGTTTTTACGATATACAGAATAATGCGTAGGATCAAGTGAGAGGACTTGCCTTTATTAATAATTTTTATGTTTGACGCTAGAAGTAGTGATAAAATATTGATTTTTTAAGTCTGAGTGCCAAAAAAACTATTCATTAAAACATAGAAACACTTCTCATACGACGCCATTTCGTTTTTCGCATGCAAAATCACCCGGTATTTAACTAGGAAAGGCTATAACGTTATATATAAAGTTAACAACGAAATATTTACTGGACGCGTATTATAAATAAAGTAAAATTTAAAACAAATGTTTGGCGGTCTAAAAGGAACTGACGTTGACACTTTCAAGACAAGGCTTTACTCCCACATGCAACCGAACCCACTTTAAGAATACCCTATGCAGCCATTGCACAGTTCATTTATATAATAACCTGGACAGACTATGTAAATGAATTTTGCCTTTATTTGTAACGCATTCGCGCACATATAAGCTTGTCACGCTATATATATGGCACGCTCTTTAGGAAGGCAGTGCGTCCGCTCAACGGGTGTCTCGAGTGGCAGGCTACGGCGCCAGCATAAACAAGACCCCCCATCTCAGCTTCTATGAGCACCCGAGGTGAAGAGCGCACCGTATTATTCACTGACAAACAGTTTCCAGTAGGAGGCCTGTTTGTTCAACCTTCTCAGTCGCCGCGAGGCCTGCGCGAGGCAAACCACGTGGGCGTGTCCTGTTCGAGCATGAATTTCATCGCCGCTACCAAGCGCACATAGCAGAAGACCCGATCTTGCATTTTTTCCGCAATAGCAATCTGCATCTCTCGAAGTAAGAGAAAGTAAGGCAAACAATGGAAGGCCAAACGCCACATGACTTATCTGTCCGGGTGCGGAAGAAAATACAGCAACCCTGGCTCCAGTTCTTTTAGTATTGCGATATGATATAACTACGTTATGCACTACTGGATTATGACTTATCTAGGCACTAAAATAAAAAAATTCCCTAACCCTAACCCTAACCTAACCTAATACCTCAATACCTAACCTACATCCCTAAACCCTAACCCAATTAGTCATAATCATAAATCGCATCTTCAAACTGCCCTGCGGTTTTGCAGAAATACAGCAAAGCTAGTAGTCGCCCCCGTGACTGAAATATGCCCAACTAATCTATTCCGCTTGTCATCAGAAGAAGAACACGAACGAGAGCGCGAAAGAGAGATCAGAAAGCGATAGAGAGGAGAAGAGAGAGGTGATGAGGAGAGAGTAGAGAGAGATGAGGAGGAAGAGAGGAGGAGAGAGAGAGGAGGGAGGAGGGAGAGATGGAGAGAGAGAGTAAGACGTGAGGAGAGAGGGGGAAACAGAGAGGAGGAACATCAAGAAAAGCAAGCGAGCGAGAGAGAGAGAGGCGGGGGTTTAGAAAGAGAGAAAGAGAGAGGAGATGAGAGAGAGAGAGACGAGAGAGAGATGAGAGAGAGAGAGGAGATCGATGAGATGCAGAAAGATGAGAGAGATGAGAGATTAGTAGTAGAGAGCAAGAGAGAGAGAGAGAGAGAGAGAAAGAGAGAGAGAAAGAGAGAGAGAGAGAGAAGTGGGTAAGGAAGGAGAAGAGAGAGATAGAGAGGGGGAAGGGGAGAATGCGGGAGGAATGAGAAAAGGAAAAGAAGAGAAGCGACAAAAATGGCGATTAGTCAAAAATCAATTTACTTATATCCTTCTATAACTAATAATATTTAAACATATTTTTACATATTTTGTTTAGTATCATACACTACATCTCATGCGCGACACTAGTGTCGCCCAGCGACAACGAATAATGTTTGTTTTTTATTCGGCATTGTGCATAGGAACTCTAGATGTTATGATAATTGGGCTTTCTCTTATTATATAAGAAGGCAAGACGTTTTATATTTTCATAGAAAACTATTCGCGACTATGTCCTCTCCTTTTTAAACACATAATTCCAACAAAAATGATTATTTACGTTCGCAGATAGTATGTATGCGCACATAAGGGAGGCAAAGTGTGTTACAATTTTTAATGAATTTTATTCCCGAATATCTCTTCTTCTATTTTAATTATATATGTTTTAGAAAATTGCACTTTTGTTTGCAAATAGTATGTATGCGCACAGACACGACTGACGCTATATTCTATCGCACGTTTGAAGCAGGTCTGGGAGATTTTCAGCCTCATGGTTAACGAATTAAACCATTGGCATCAAGAATTTGTATATATAACTAATTCTGACTGTGTGCTCACTACACGTGTTTCATTTCAACAAAATCATGTCTAAGTATTTCGTTTATGACACCGACACTTCTTTTGCGCGGCATTAGCGCCGACAAATGGCAACGATAAAAAGTACGGAATGGGGATGTTGGGAAGATTGAGCTTTCTCTGGTTGTCTAAGGAAGGAAATGCGTCTGACATTTTTTAATGGAAACCTATTCTTGAGCATTTTCTCTCCTTAGATGCATATTTTCAACAAACACACGTCTAACTAGGTTTTACGGACAGTTATCAGATTTTCAGCCGTATAATAAATGAAGTGATTCATTGAGATCAACATATCTCATATCTATCTACTCCTGTATATGTGTTCACTACTAGTGCATAATTTCAACAAAACTACGTGGCCAGCGGGGCAGAGAGGGCTGTTGGTCTCAAACTTTGACAGTGGAAACGACGATTTCCCCACGGTCATTTGTTCAAAGGCCATGATATTGCACTTGAATCTGAAAGCTTGTTAAAGATTAACCGTGGTTGTAAAGCTGTACTACTAAGTATACTGTACTAAGTATGTAGGCATAAACCACTCCGAAATACTTAAAGGATCATAAACACGTACCTTCAGATGGAACGGCACGTCTGTTCGCTCCGAACGTCATGAGCTTTTATGATTTTTTTACTAACGAACGAAAAGTTTTTGGGCGCATATTGCCATACAGATGTGAGGCTTGCGCATGCTAGCCTATACTAGACGATTAAATAACAAGCACCCCCCGCCCGCAAATCTGGTGGGAACGATAGAGTGAATTTCTACGAATTATTAATTCATCATTTTATATAAATTTAAGATATGATATTAATTTAATCATGCATAATAATTAAGTTATAATGCTAATTAAAGATGGCCGCTCCGTTTCAGCGGTCGGACAGCTACTACTGGTTCTTGGATTGCTGCGTGTCCGTGTTCATGGAGGGCGGGTTCACGATCATCGCCTGGCGCGGGCAATGGGAGCTGCTCAACGTCTACCTGGCACCGAACAGAATCTACACGTCGCTGTGGGCCGGATATGGCATAGGTGTCGCCATCTGTCTGCTCGCCTTCGCCTTGCAGCCGGTCGTCGCCGGCATGTCGAGGAGGTTAGACGAGCAGCACGTCGCTTACAAGACGGTGCTCGAGACCGTCTTCATCGGCATCGCGAATTTCGGCGCCATCAACATGTGGCGCGCGCTGTGGCACGCCTACAACGTCTACATATGGCCGCCAGAGGACGTCGACATCTACCACTACACGCAGAAAAGCTGCTGGCTGACGCTAGGTGTCGCCTCGGTGCTGATGATGGCGCTCGCGAATCTGAAGGGCGCCATAACGTCGGGCGTCGACATCGACGGAAGTTACATGAACGGCGACGGCTGCTGGTTCCACGTACACTACACGAGTGACGTCATTTCGCAGGTGGGTAGCGGATCTATATGTAACTCTTATACAGTATTATATAATTATATACATCACGGGTTGATAATGACTATTTGATTTGTTATTATTAACCCCTGATATATATATATATATATATATATATACATATATACATATAGATGGATAGATAGATATACGTATATCGAAATGTGAGGCAGGGTACGTACTCGCAGTAGAAACCCCGAACAGACGCCAAACGAGTGTTTGACACAAATTCGCGGTCGGCGCCAAAATTATATTTACCGACCAACTATCTCGAGTCCGTCTAACCATTCGCGCCGGCTACAGGAGCATATAGCCTGTAGCTAGTACCAGCTTATCGCTTGATGCAATCGAGATCAAATGTTTACGACGAAATTCCCATTGAGTTTGCATTCAAGCGGCATACCCCATGGTCCGGGAAGTAACTCGTACAGCTGTTGATTGAGAGGAAATTGAGTATCTGACACTATTTTTTAGCTTGAGCATTCTCACCTGGTATTGCTACTATTCACTCGCAAGATCCTCTTTAGTGGAGGAAACTAGTTTAAACTAATTCTTGCTAATAGAAAAAACTAGTTTCATCTGCGAATAAAATCCCTTTATATCAGAAATCGTACCCTGTAACCGAGGACATACCGCCCAGCACGACAATACAGGATTTATACTCGCACGCGCATGTTACGATATTCATAACATGTTTTCAAGAGCAGATAAAGAAGGCCTTCTTTATCTGCTCTTGATGTTTTGTTAATGTTTATAAACGTTAATACGCCGTAATATTTAGCGTTAGTTATTTAAGTTATTAGCGTTAAAACGGTTATAATGTTTAATGTTACGTTTGATAATGTAGGAGGAGAAACATTGTAAGTCGTAACGACATCCAACGTCTTAAAATGACATAATATTCGAAGTGAATTTTGTCGTTCAAAAGTTACGACATATTACACACACGTTAGTCGTACACACACACGTACGCACGAACTCACACGCACACACATTACATATACTAACGCTTTGCGTTACCGTAATCCAGTCTCGTGTTAGAATTTTTTTCTTAAGAAACGTCATTTAATATAGACTCATTTAATCAATAATCGCCTAACGGTCTGTCCACAGAGTTTTTGCTTTGCCTGCGGTTCAGCTGCGTACTAATATCCTGCTAATATCGTGTATCGACGCTGGTTATGCGTAAATAACCGCGGGAAGGTGATTGCGCATGCAGCCATAGTAAAAAGAAACACCGAGAATGTATGCTCTTAGTTCCGCCACCCAGGTTCATCATAAGGTCGTCAGTCTTCGTAGCTCGCTGGGATCCCCCACCACCACCATCACCGCCTAGTTCCCAATAGTGGCCACTTCACTCGAGGAAAGCCGGTTGGCTGGCGACGAGACGCAAGCACTTCACTAGAAAATTCTCGCCAATGGAAGGCGTTCCGGGCAGTCGTTACCGCGTCAGGTGCCCACGCCGATCGCAACAATTGGCGAATGACGATGTGAACGCATCGGCCGATGACGACCGACAGAAGACCTGCGAGTCATTCGATGCAACAGTGCCGCCCCGTACCGTCAGCGCATATTCACGCACGAGAGAAGCAGCAACGCCGATACAGTAACGAGGACCACACGCGAAGCGACCAGAATTCCTCGCGACGACACACACCTGGAAGAGTAGGAGAGGATCTCTGTCGTGCGGCTGCGGTGAGGACCTCGAGGATCTATCCACAGACGCGCCGTGAAAACCCGACAGATACACAGTAGAGAGTAGATTTAGATATATAGTGGGAGATCATAGCGCAGAATATAACTAGTGTGAGATCTAGCGCAGCAGCGACACGTTACCCGGTTGACACAAGGGAAGAAGACGCGAAGAAGATGCAAAACATGGCGACGACGAGCATGACCGCTAAGGAGCGCGCGTGTCTGATCGCCGACGTCGCCATCTCGATGTTCGTCTTCACTCCGCTCAGCGTCATGCTGTGGCGCAGTGTCTGGCACCTGCAGGACAGCTACATCCTGCCGCACGACGATGGTTCGAGCGGCATCGTGTCGGGGCTCGCTGGCACGGCCGGCCTGCTGCTCTTCAACCTCTTCCAGTACCGCATCCAGCCGTTCTGCGACTCGCTCGCGAGGCCCTGGCGCCTGCTCTTCCTTCGCGTCTACATCCACGGCTTCGCGCTGGCGACGATCTCGCAGTGGCGCGGCTTGTGGACCGTCATCGACGCGTACTGCGGCGAGACGGCGCTCAGCGGCTGGCTGAGTCTGCTCGCCGGCGTCGGCATCCTCTGCTCGCTGAGATGCTTCCGGTCGTCGGTCGGGCCGCCGCTGGTCGTCGAGCCGGACTTCTCGCCGCAGCTCTGCAAGATACCGACGCGCTTCCGAATGAAGGTAGAGCGGACACGCTGATATCGTTGTCGCAACTGTTGTTATTATAATAATTATAATCATAACTATATTTATAATAATAATAATAATTATTATTATTAT